GAGCGGGGCGGGGGCTCCGCCTCGCTGCACCTGCCGGGCAGGTGTGTGCTCAGGGGAGCGGCGGACATGCCCCGGCTGCGGGCTGGGGGAGCGCGCGTCTCGGAATTCCGCGCGCTCGGGAAGGTGCGCAGCAGGTGCCCGAGCTCCTTTCCCGGACAAGGGCGCTGAGCCCTGCCGGGTCGACCTCGCCCTTCCGATTTCTCCTCTTATGGACTCAAGCGTGGGACGGAGTCAAACCTAAAGTGCTGTGTTTAATTCTGACGTCAAAGTAAGATAATGTGTCTCTAAGGGCGTATTTTTTCTTATTCTGTTTTCCATTAACCCTTCCGTTCCGGTTAGAAGCAGGGCACTGGCGGGCTGAAAGGCCTGAAAGACGTACTTTCTGTATTTTATTTTCACCTCTGATCTTTAGATGCCTACTTTTTATTTCAAAATACTTAATAGAACAGTTTTATATATAGTTTATTTAGGAGTATAAATTTTAGTTTTCCTTTGTATGACTTTTAAAACCTAGGTTAGTGTAGGAGAGGAATGTTTTTCAATAGAGAACAGCCTGGGAAAGAAGTAAAGTGGTGACAGATGAGGAGAAATAATCCCTATTATAACCCTGAAAAGGGTACGGATGAAGGCAACTTCATTTTACTAAACTTCATTTTAGTATAAAAGCAGTTAATTTATTTTAGTCTTGGATTTGATTGCAAATACTGTTTACTTCTAATTTTAAAAAGCAGTACGGTAAGAAAAATAATTGTCTGCCATGTGATAGAATAAATTTGGAAACAGAAGCTTCACACTTGACTTTCCAAAAATGAACTTTCTGTACTTAAATAGGACTGTGATTAATTAAAATAGATGTTTAATACTGGGGAGCAGCACGTTTGTCAGATTAATGTGCTGGAAAAATCTGAACAAAGTTGTAATGTGAGAATGTGTTCCTAGTCCCAGAAGTTCAGTTTTTCTATGGCTTTAAATAGCACCGTTGGTTTTTTTTTTTTAAGCTGATTTTTCTCCTTTGTATGAGCCTTCCTAATAGTTAAGTACAGCTAAGGTTAGAAGTGTATGATATAATTAAGAATAAGGTGATTACATCTTATCTTTATATGAAATGTTTTGATGATTACCTACCGTTCTATTACATAGGAAGAATTTGTAAAATATATGTATTTTCAAGGAAGAGAGTTAGCCCTGCTTTTCTAAATTTATGTTTTTTTCTACTAGATAGGTTTCTGAGAGCCAGCTTTTCAGTTGAATACTTTGATACACATGGTCTAACCTTTTTTTCAAAGATTAACTTCATGTAGCTTCAATATTTATATAGTTTTTTATGTAGAAGCATTATTTTAATTGAATTAAGCTCTGACTACATGAGGAAAAGAAGAGGATTGCAATGTCCAGGGAAGTGCTACTTGGTTAGGCACCGGACTAGGATTCAGAGAAGTCAGTCCGCATGGACTTTAGTTACCCTGTCTCTGAAATGGGTTTAATGATAATACCACATCTGGTTGTGTTGTTGAGAAAATTGAACTGGATGAGGGACGTGGAAGTACTTGGAAACCGCAAATCACTGTATATTTCTATTATGTCCTGCTATTTTTGCAGCAGAAACACTTTTTAAAGTGTACTGTTACTGGAAAAGTTAAAATCTTAAGAGTGTTACTGAACTGAACTTGGGTCCGTCACCCGACACACAGCAAAGCTGATCTGCTGACACCAGGTTGTGGTGGAAGTAAGGTGCTTACTGCAAGTGCTTGTCAAGCAAGGAGAAGGGGCGGTGTTCAAACGACCCAAACTCCCAGATAGCTTTCGCGGAGGGGTTTTAAAGACGACTTTCCTTTTCTGTGAGGGGCGCAGGGTGTGCGATGTTCTGGGAGTCTTAATCACCAGCCTTCTGGTTCCAGCTAGTCTGGAGTCTCCTGCTTGTGGTCGGAGTGAGTCACTGTCCTCCACCTGGGTGGGGGCTCGGGGGCACCTTAGTTCCTGCAGAGCACATAACACAGGAGAAGTGTTGGACTGTTACGTGTACCCCTTGAGGAGGAGCTCTCTTAAGGCTGCGATTGCTGAGCTGTGTTTTGTGTTGCTTGGGCTTTTCCTTTGTTTTCTGCAGCCGCTCACTTCCCTGGTTAGTAACTGCTTGAGTCTGCTCTTTGGAACTTTGCGAAAGCCTGGGAGACTAAAGCCTTTTTCTCCAAACAAGAAGCAGGGGACACGGAGGGGCTTTTGTACTTGGGAGGGCCCCACAGGGTCCTGCTAGGTTTCGTGAGATGTAAAGCTCTGTGGTGCTGACCTGCAGTTACTTTTGTGGACTGAACAGGTGAAGTGAGATGTCGCCCTGGCCTTGCTTTCCCCGCTGCGCTCAGCGGCCGTGGGGCTTCCTGCCAGCGCTGCCAGTCAGGGATTGAGGACAGATTTGAGGTCTGGTATTAAAACTCTCACCAGAGCCTCTTTTATTAGCTTTTTCCCCTAGAAAGAGTCCTTTCTTCCTAGAATTTATTAGAGGGAACTTTTCCTGATTTGTTCTTCTGGTTCACAGCCCCTCTTTGCTTTTGCAAAGGCAAATCAAGCAGTAAGAAGAAAATTTCATGTTCTCTTCAGTCAGATGAGGTTCTGTGCCTTTGTTCTCACCCATCAGTAATTTGTTCTATGCACTTTGCACTCCTGGCTAACTAAAGATCCCCTGCATTCTGTTTACAGCCTGTCAAAGGGGTGCGGGGCTTTTCCGATCTAAAGCCATTCGAGAATTTAAAACATTTTATTAACAGCGTAGTTGAGGTTTTCAGCAAAAATTTGAAATCATATTTCACATAGATTATAAACTCCTGTCAGTTACATTTTAGGAAAAGTTTGAAATGTCTTTCTCACCAAAGTGGATTTATAAGTATATTGTTTAATGTTGATCTTTTTTTCAGCAAGAAACGAATTAAGAGAAAAGGCTATGACCAAAGGCAGTGTGGGAACTTTGTTTGGGTCTGGTATAGGCAAAGCCAGCTGTAACAGGCATTACTGGGACAACTGGGACATTTAAGCAGGGTCTTAGATAAAAACATCATGTAATTGACAGTTTTTGTTGGCTTGGCTGTTAATCCCCCGGGTTCTGAATTTGAGCGGTGGGTTTGAACCCTGGCCCCGCTGCCCTGCAGCTGCGTGGCCTTGGACGGACGTTTAGTGGCTGTGCTGCGGTAGCTGTGTAGTGGCACAGCTGGTGCCGACAGAAGTCAGTGTTCCGCTTATTCCTGTTGTCATTAACGTTCCGTGTGAAATCCCTGGGTTCCTGGGACTCCTCATGGTGCCGCCGGCTTTCCTTTCACGGCTTGCTTCTTACCTTGGTGAAATCCCCCATCAGGGGCCTCCTGCATGTCAGGTTTCTTCACAGACCTTATTGATGGAGTGAAAGAAATAGCTCTTTTTTTCGTTCTTCTCTTATTCTCCCTCCTGAATTTTGGTTAAGAAGAGTAAATTGGAGTGAACAAGTAAGTGTCGAGAGAAGACATAGATTTCAATGACTGGGTCAGTCAAGGTCTGTGTATAGTAATTCTAGAGATTTACTCCCCTTAGAGAAGTGAACAGATACATCTGTGCACGTATGTATTTGGATAAATGTGCAAAGAATGTTTTCTTGAGTAGAACCTAGATCATGGAGGGTTTGCAAGTCAGTTAATCAGCATGCTCTTACCAATCTGAGGTCAGTTAGATGCTGACGATGAGTATTCTCCAGTTAATACAGTGTGCTATTCTAAGTTAAGTTTAACTTCCGAGCTTCCAGGAGAGCTTTAGGAACTTGCGTTCTCTAGCCAGGTGAGAAGTCGCCCTGGGACGCTGGGATCTTTCCCGGCTGTAGAACACAAGAGCTGGCGTGGGCCTCAGACGTCAGCTCGTCCAACCCTTCACTTGCCAGATGGAAAAACTGGCATCTCAACCAAACAGGATAGTGGAGACGCCAAACTCGTGAAGCCAAAACGGGAATGTGGGTTTAGGATTTAAAGGGAAATGCTACACACAAGAGTGATTTGGAAAAGAAGGTTCAGGTTCTTTGTGCGCACCTTTCCTGCGTGTCTCCCTTTGCCGCCCGGCTGCCCTGCCGTGTGATTGACCTTCACAAAGGAATGAGGCTGAAAGTGTTCAAGCAGAACTGGCCACGAGAGTCTCTTTTCTGCCGTCCAGTTTAGTTTTGACTGTCTAAATACAGGTGAATATCACACATTCTCATTGTTAAAACACTCCCTCGTTTTAACCTGAACTAGAAAATCAGGTAAAAGTGGGTAAGAATAAATGAAATGGAGGCGAGCATGCTCAGCCTGTAGGGGACTCACCCCCCTTTCAGTGGTGATAGGAACAGACTGCGCTAGGCTGTCGCTGGGGTCCTTTTAGTGATGCAAGAGCGAGTTGTAAATTATGGTACTTTCAGAGAAAGCTGACAATTACTGTCAGTAATTTTAGGAAAATAAGAAACTGAAATAGGCAGTGCCCAGGAGACATTAGGCAGATAAAAATGAGCTCAGAAGAAACCTTGAGCCAAACAAACAGTATTCCAAATAAAGGAGGAAAAGAGGATAAAGTTTATTCCAGGGTCATCCTCCATCATCACCTGCGTCTTCAGTCTTAACTGGGGAGGCTGGGTTTCCCCACCACGATAATGCAAGGTCGCAAGTGAACCAAGAAACCCCTTGTGCGTTTTCAAGGGTTTTCTTTTACCCTTCATGGAAGTAAAATGAAGGCAGCACACCGAACAAAGAGAAAGTCGAGTGTGTTTTCCAGCCGGGGCTACCTCACTGTCCCCCGGCTGCGGTTTGTGTAAGTTCATCCTATTCTGGAACAAACTTTCTTCTCCAGTTTGGCTCTGCACAAATACGCTTTTCAGATGTTTTGACCAATGACTCATGTTCTGGATGACTCTGACATGGAGTTAAGGGATGTTGAGTTGGGGATTTTTGTATCTGTCAGGGGTGTTTAGAATAGCTTTATTCGCATTTGTTTTATTATCATTAAACCACTATTAAAATGAAGTGATCGGCATTTTTGTGATCTTTTTTTGTGGAGGATTTTCAGGTTGAGGAGAGTATGAGGGTAATTCCCTCTTCTTCACTTTCCTTTATAATCTGCACTAAGGTCACCTGTAGTAAAATAGGGTAGAGTTTGAACTATTGTACAACTCAGGGAGAGTGTCCTGAATTGAAAAGTAAATTATCTCCAGGTTGACATTTTAGATTTTAAGAACTCTTGTCTTTTAAAACATTTTTGTAGGAAAAAAAAAGTGCCATTGGTGATTTGTCAGTAAATAAAAGGCCTGTGTTCAGATCGTGAACAGAGGAGAGTGACACCATAGGTGGCCACAGTCCACGAGCTACGAGGCGATGCTCCTGCCGTGGTGAGGGCGCCACCTCTGCGCCGGGTTGAGGCGCTGTGCTAGGCGTGGGCTCGCTGGGGAGCTCCGCCTTGGTGACGTGATTTGTTACCACAGTTGAAACATAATCTGTTAAAACACTTCACTTAACATTGAAAGACGGGCTCTTTCTAGACTGTACATATTTCATAACAGAACGCATCTGAAATATATTATTAGCACCATCAACGAATACTTTCATGCGGGAAATTGGAACCTCCCTGGTCCCTAAGTCAAAGCAACAGGAGGAGTCGCTTGGACGTGCCTGGGTGTGTAAAGGATTTTATCATTTTATTTCACTAATTCTTTCAGTAGCTACACTTGAAGATTTTTGCCTTAACAGAACAACTCAACTATATCCTGGAAAGAATTGGTATTTCAGAAAGAAACTTCACTATAAAACTGTCAACATGTTTTGAATAGAGTTAAATTTAGCATTCAGGAAAACCATTCACTTGATGTTAAAAGATTTTTCTCTCCATTCGTTCAGCAGATATTTTTTGAGTGCCTTGTAAATGCTAGGCCCTACTTGTTCCAGAATTTCATCCATGAACAAAATACAAAGTTACATGCCTATTTTTAGAGGCTTACATCCTGGTGATAATCCATCAGTAAGTAAAATGGAAGGTTCGTTGCAGATAGAAGTTTGCAACATGGTGCGTCTCTCCAACTTGTCATTTTCAAAGCAGTGCCCCCTTTTCGCCTGTGCTGCCTCATCTGAGCCACCAGCACGGGGCAGGGGAGCTCACAGAGTGTGGCCAGTCCAAACTGAGATGCTCCGGGAGTGTCAGCACACAGGTCTCAGAGACTTCGTGCCGGAAGCACCGCACTAACACCTTACTAAGCTGATTAGTAAGGTATTAGTGTTCAAATTAAAATGATCTGAAATGTTGGAATAAATAAACTTAATAAAATTACCTCCTTTTGTTTTTTACTTTTGTTTTTCCCCTTCACGGCAGTACTGGGGATCGAACCCAGGACCTTGTGAGTGCCAGGCATGCACTCTCCCACTGAAGTTACCCCCACTCCATGTTTTTCACTTTTGTTAATGTGGTTTCTGGGAATTTTTAAATTACATATGTGGCTCCTATTTGTGACTTGCTTTGGATAGCCCTGCTCTAAGGATTGTTTATTTTTCGTAAAATTAAGGTTTACTTTCATTAGGTCAAAGTTATTAGTAGAAATATCACTAGATCTTCTCAAGGAAAAAGAAGAATGTGCGCTGCTGTTGTGGTTCTGTTACTGGATTTGGGATTCCTGCGTGAGGCTGGAGTAACCTGACAGAACCCAAGTCTTTCAAAGCATCTGATCTTTTTTTTTTTCCCCCTCCATGTCTCCCCGTCTGAACCTCGGTGACTCCTCACAAAATAGTACGGTAAGAACACTTTCTACTTCATTCCAGGCTTTTGCAGACTTTATGCATTAACAAAGTAACGGACCGCAGGCCTGGCGCGCTTTGCCTGAAATGGCAACCAGCCCCCAGGCCTGCGGGTCACGGGCTCGGGCGGCCCCAGGGCTCCCTGGTTCTCTTGTCCGTCCTGGACTCAGCGCTGGCGCACTGACCAGCGCCCTGCAGACAGCACAGACCAAACGTGTGTCTCAGACAGGGCGGGAGAGCCGAAGCCTTGTCCTAGGTGCAGAGGTGCATCACTAACTGTCCCAGGTTAGGTGTTTCAGTAACTAGTGTTGAAATTATTTGTATCTTTTAGTTTCTTTTTAAGAGACGTCTTAAGTATATCTCAGTGCTTATCATCATCACTAGTGCACAGGGAGCTCTTAACGTGCAGAACTTGGCTTCAGATAACCCTGCACTCAGCACACGGAGACTTTAATGCCGTCCTGGGACCGGAAGTCCCCCAGGCACTTCGGGTTTCAGACTTATGCCCTGGTCTCTTAGCCTGGCCTCAGCTGTGAGCGGAGGCCCTGGCGTAGCTACGCCCCTGGGTGTGTGCGTGCTGCGTAGACCTGGAGACCACCAGGCAGGGCAGAGCAGCAGAAAGAGATTAAACAGCAAACGATGGGAACGGACAAACGTGGAGAAAGGCCTGGTCAAAAGAGGAAGGAAGACCACAGGGAATAATAGAGTTGGAAGTGAAGTGGCACCCAAGCGGGGAAAGGCAGGGGAAGGAGTGAGTCGGTGAGGAAGGTGGATGCACATCACCAGCGGGCTGGGGGGTGAGGGAGAGGACGCGGCCGGCCGCCTAGATACAAGGAGTACTGACGCTCAGCGATGAGTGCCTGAGGCAGAGTCCAGTCCAAGGGCACGAGGACTCTCACAGCCACCCCAGAACCTCAGAGATCGTTGTGCCAGCAGTGCCCGCGCTTCAGGGCTCGTCACTCAGGTGTCGGGCCCCAGAGCGCCTCCCAGGCGGCCGCGTGGGAGCACCGGCGCCGCACAGCTCTGTGAGGCCTGGGCGTGCCGTGTGGACGCTTCAGATACCCTTAGATCGCGCCAGAGGTGACTCTCATTTAATCTTTTCTCGCACTTCCCTTGTTTCTCCCTGTTACAGAATTTTTGGATTTTGTGCCTGTTGGTCAGTATTAGTGCAGGTCCAAAAGTGTGCTCTGTAGGCCGAGTCTATCTTAATGCTCTGATAGGCAGGAAGAAAGCACTGCTTAATGTTCTGATAACTAAAAAGCGTGTTTAGCCAACAGTGCGTGGTTTCCTTCATATTTTAAAGTATTATTTGCAGATGATGCATAAATAAAACAATTTTTAACTTAATGGGAAAAGTCACTGGACTTATTTCAACCTCAGAAATTAAATTAAATTGGATGTCACTGCTGTTCACCAGGGACAACTTAATTTTGGTGTCCTGGGATGACTACAGTTGTACATGAAAAACGTGGCCCATTTTTAAAGTATACATTGTTGCTATTACTTCAAAAGTATTTTTCAATCCTAATTTCTTATTATCTAGGGCTCTGGTGTAGATTTTAGGTTCTCTGATCTTAACAAATCTCACATGAGTTGAAAAGCAATTCCTTCCCTGATTAAGTTATTTTCTTCAGAAAAAGTATCCAACTTAGGGTCTGTATTTTAAGAGGTATTGACAGATACCCTAATGAAAATTTGAAAAAAGTTTTGATAACATTTAAACATTACATTATAGAGAATAGTTCTAATAAGGTTTAGGCTCATGTACGAAGTTAGTCTCAGTTTAAAATTCTCTGAATGGGACAGTCAGATTACTTAGTTGTCATTTGGAAGTTGGTAGGGACCTTGGTAAATCCCTTCCGGTTTGGGCTTTCCTCGTAAGAACGGCTGCTTCAGAGGCAAATACTTGAACAAGCAAATGCCTGCATGTTCAGCTTCCACCAGTAGCCGCAGAGGGTGTGCGTGCAGGCTCGTTTCCACACATTTCACGTTGGTGTCTAAGTAAGAAACTGCAGCTGTTCAGGCTCCACCTTAACCATCCCTCTTCTTTCCCTCATTTCTTCGTAGCACTTCTGGGGCCCAGTGGCCAACTGGGGCCTTCCCATCGCTGCCATCAATGACATGAAAAAGTCTCCGGAGATCATCAGTGGGCGGATGACCTTTGGTAAGGACGCAGGTTTGAATACCTGGGAAGATGTTTATATACACGTATACCTCTGGCACAGCACGGCCCCAGCCCACAGGGCAAGGCTGTGGCTCCAGACGCTGCAGTCACTATTAGCAAGTAACAGAGAGCTTGACAGCGCTGAGGGTGTGGCTTCTCCCAGTGAGGAAGAGACAGGGTTACTGTATTTTGAAATATTGATCTAGGAAGTATTAAAGTCCTGTTTGCCCTTCAGAGTTAGCACACGCAGTTAAAGAATGTGCCCTCTTGAGCTGTGTTCAGAAAGAGTGCCAGCAAGGTCACCGGAAACCCTGACACTGCTCATAAAACTGTTGTTGAGGGGATCAGTAACAACCCTTTGGGATAGTGGACTGCACACAACTCTAGGGGACAGAAAAAGAGGTTAGAACTAACGACAGCTCACTGCCATTGTGCTCCTCAAACGTGTGAGTAGTAAGTAGCCAAGCGCCTAACGGGGCCAGACCAGCTGACGCGTCTCCCATTCCTGGAATGTGTGCGCAACAGCTTCAGCGTCTGTGAAGGTTTTAGCAGAAGAGCTTTTCTTTCTTGAGGATCAGGCCTCAGTCTCGGAGGTTGTAAGTCGTGTGTCTCTGGTGTCCCTGGCAGCGCTCTGCTGTTACTCCCTGACGTTCATGAGATTTGCCTACAAGGTGCAGCCTCGGAACTGGCTCCTGTTCGCCTGCCACGCCACAAATGAAGTCGCCCAGCTCATCCAGGGAGGACGGCTTATCCGACATGAGTAAGCAGATCCCAAGTCATATTTTTGTTCTGAGGAACTGGGGAGAGTGAGACAAAACTCTTAGGAGGCGTGGTGGGGCTCTGGGTGTGACTGTGTACACGTGGGCTCAGGGGAGCGGCTGGGGAAACTTGATCCGGAGCAAAACTATGCCGAGAACTTAAAGCAGTGACTGGGCAGTTAATGCAATGCATATTGCAACATGAAGATTAGCCTGAAATAGGATATTAGCCTTTTTATAAAATTGTGACTTGAAATCGGTGTCCATAACGGTGCCTTCTTGAAGCCTTCCAAATCCTCTGAGACTGTCAGTGAAATTTTCTTTCTCACTGAATTTTCCTCCGCGCTTCTTCCAGGATGGCCAAGAAGGCGTCAGCATAACAACGGAAAACGAGGGGACCAGCTGCCAGCGGCTCCAGAGGCGGAGTCCCTCATCGGGAAGAGTCTCGCCAGAAACAGATGCTGACTGCTGTTTTTACTAACCAGATTATTTTTCTAGAAATAGCAGAGCGCCCCTGAGCCCACTCTCTGCTGCCTTATAAGTACGAATATTCTACTTCTCTTCAGAAAGAGTAGCTCGAATATGCGATCAAGTTCATGATTCCCAGTGATGGTTTTATCTGCAGTAGTATGTGTCCTGTCTGTTAAAATTTACTGCGTGAAAACCTGAAGAGAACAAAACTTGTAACCACTAGCATTAGGTTCTCAGAAATCATGGCTTTTTCTTTAATGACCACAAGACGGTGGACAGCTGGCCACATACCTAAGATCACACTGCCAGTGTTTGAAAAGATATTTGTATTTCCCTGCAATGTGTATATTGAAATGCTGTAATTAATGGCAATAAATGATTTAAATATTTGTCAAATCAGCATGATTAAATACCTTGCTGTGCTTATTAAGGAACTGTAGAACTATAGCCCTGAAAAGACAGCTACTGGGAAGAATGGAACTCCTTGAAAATACTAAGATTAAAAATAAAAGTAAACTGACTATACTACAATTGAAAAGAAAAGGAAGGAAGAGGGGGAAGAGAGATAGAAAGGAAACAAAGAGACAGAAAGGAAGGAAGAAGGAAAGAGAGAAACAAAAAGAAAATTAATCACGATGGTCAGGGAAGTGGCAGCTGGAGGCCAGTTTCCTGGAGCATCCACAGTCCCAGCTGTGAATAGCGTGCTCTTCCACATGGGTGAACACCAGTGCACCCCAGCACCGCGCCTGAAACTCCCCGAAGCAGCCGGGGCTTGTTCTGGGCCTGTGTTTCTCCCGAGGCGGGCGCTCTGACACCTGCTGTGGGGACGGCAAGCCCATAGGATGTGCTTCTGGCCTCTGGGCAGGGGGTGGAGCGTGGCAACCAGGAACTGCCCCGGGGGCTTGGACCAAGTGACGGGAAGTGTCCCGAAGACACGGCCCTGACTCCCCGTTCACGCTAGGCAGAAGTTAGGGTTTTTTAACTTCACCCTGAATATGAGCACAATTCTCTGTTCCCTGGCAACAGCGGGTGAGAGCGGCAGAGGTAAAGCTGACACCCGCAGGGCCTGTGCCCCTCCCAGCCAGACGGTTCCCTCTGAGTAAGTTCTGTCACTTTTTCTTTTTTTCCTTCAGAGGCACTACACAATTTATAAGGTATTATCATATGTGCTCTCTTGTGAGCCACACACAGCCCTGAGGGGCGCGCAGGACTGGTGCTGCTCCCACGTGGTAGATGAGGGAATGTGGTTGGGATGCTGGGAGATGCTGTGACCAGCAGGTCCTCCTGTCCCCTGGCTGCATCTGCCCCTGGGGGTGGCGGGAGGTGGGTAGGACCATCCTCCGTCCCTCAGGCTCCTCCTTCCGCAGCTCTCTAGAGTTGAGGTTGGTTAAAAGGAAGGTGCAATAAGAGTATAGACTGGTTTAAGTGCAAACAGTGCATTCTGCTTAATCTGTCACGCAAGTAACATAACTTGTAAGAAAGTCAGTCTCTGCAGATGCGCGTAGAGGAACCACCGGCCTTGTGCCTCTCCTGTGCCATCTCTCCAGAGTTGCTACTCTTAGTTTCTGTGGGTTTGGACTTTCTGCTTCCCTTTTCACCTTGGAAAACTCGTCCTGCCTGCCTCTAGGGCTAGGTGAGGAGCAAGGGGCAGCCTGGAGGTGTCAGCCTGCCTGGAAACCTCAGGGCCCCCGGGGCCCAGGAGCAGGTGCTGCCCAGATCGACTCCCGGTAACATCAGCCAGCAGTCTGGTTCCCTGAGATCCTCTGCCACACCCGATGAGGAAATACGGAGAGAGGCCAGCAAGCTCATTTCTACTCCCTAAAATCTCTAATGTGAGACGGACCTGTGAGTGGGCACAGAGGAGCAGGGTCCGTGCACAGGCATGCGCTGTGCCAGGAAGGGGCCCTGCGGGAGCCAAGAGGTAGGAGTGGTGACATTCCACGTCAGAAAGCGTCCTAAGGGGCTCAGAGGAAATGGAGCTTGTGCCTGCGGCTTCCTCACGGGTCTCAGGAAGTCCCCAGCCACTGCTTTCTCTCTGCACAGAGCCCCGAGTCCTGGCAAGGGCCCCAGATGAACCACGGGAAAAAGTGGGGAAGGGTGTGAAATGTTTCACTGCTGGAATCTGACTCCTAATTATTTCCTAATTGGACACAAAAAACTATTTTGCAACAAGATCTCTCTCTCTCTCCTCTCTCTTTTTTTTTTAAAGGTTCGTGGTTGCTTTAAAACGACCAATGTCTCATTAGCAAAAAGGACAGAACAGTGGGCATTCTCTTTGTAAGCAATAGCCTTGTCAGACAGACTTACCAAACGGTGCTGAAACTTCTCATAGGATGTGGGAGCCGGAAGCCCTCTCTCCAGGCCCGGGGCCGCTCGCACCGCTCTTCCTGGGAACTTATGGAGCTTTGTCTTGCAGAGAAATTTGAAGTATGTGATCACAAAATGTGAGTTATTTGGCCTGAGGGGGGTGGTATAGCTCAGTGGTAGAGCGCATGCTTAGCATGCATGAGGTTCTGGGTTCAATCCCCAGTCCCTCCATTAAAAAATATATAAATAAATTAACCTAATTGCAGCCTCCTCAAATAAAATTAAAATGCAGTAAAAAAAAAAACCCGGGGAGATAAGATCACAAATAAAAATTTCTTTTTCACTTTGGTCTCTACTGTGAGAGCAGTGCCCTAGTCCTTTCCGGGTACTCTCAGGGCATCATGACCTGAGCGTTTGGGGGCTGTATCGGGGTAAACACTGCCAGCAAGGGCCACGGATGTACGTTCACCATGAAAGGGAGTTCGCGTTTGAAGTACTGACAGGCGCAACTAAAACGTGGAAGCACAGGATTGGGTAGACGCAAAGCTTAATTACTTCAAAACCCCAGGGATGTATTTTCAGATGTTTAAATGACCTCACATAACACTCTCTCTAAATAATACTCAGGGGCTCAAAGCATTTTTCGTTTCAAAGAATAGAATACGGCGTTTATGGATGTGCATGCGCTGTGAGTAACGTCCAAGATGAGCGACGTCACTGCCAGGTCCAAAGCGCCGCGAGGGTTTCAGCCCCAGAGCATCTCCTTCCTCCGCGTGACAGGTCCACGAGGCGGAGGCGGCCAGTGCGAAGTTCTTTCTGCACTGCCTGGACTTTCCAACTGGCAGGCAGTGGGAGTCCTGGCCCCGGGAAGTGCTCCTCCCCGGGTGCAGACGTGGCAAACCGTCAGGGGGAGATGGTTGAGAAATCCAGTTTCGTAACTCCTCCAGGCAGCTGGCTGGGGACCACACAGCTCCCATCGGTGCTCTCCCCAGGCACAGGGCGGTGGTCAGTCCTGCCACTCAAGCCGGTGCGGTCACTCCTCCCCTCTCCTCCCCTCTCCGTCTGGGATTTCTCAGCTGTTTTCTCCGACGCCTCTGCAGGCGGCTGCAGAAGGCAGCAGTGGCTGTTACAACATCTGGCGTCCTGACACCCCGACGTGACGTTATATTGCTTCAAAGTCACTTGATTATCTCAAAATAATTTTGTTTTTCAGGATCAGAAGAGAAGCCAACAAGAGCGAAGCCGGGTTACCTGGGACTGAAGCCCCAGGCAGGGTGGTGGGCTTCTAGGGTCCCCGGGGGTGCGAGGAGGGCAGGCCGCTGGTCTGGGAGGGGAATGCCGGCCCCACGGGCTGCTGAGGGCTGAGCTAAGCCGCGGTGGCCACAGGGCCCCCAGGATGCCGCTGCTGGAGGTGGATGTAACAGAAACCACTGAGGAGCTGTGTGAGGACTAGCAACTCCCTGCCTGGCAGCTTTATTGCGACAGCTGGTCTCAGGCCAAAGATGTGCTTGTCCACAGGTGCACAGAGAGAATGTTTCTGAACCAGCAGGCATGAAACGTGGCTGCCATCCGTGCTCCTGATGGGGCCCGGCGCTGACTCCTCCCAGGTGCTCCGAGGGGGCCGCCGGAGGCCGGCGTGGGGATATTCCAGCCCCAACAGTAGTTCTCAACCCAGCTTGTGATCCGTGAGGGTAGCTGGACCGTGGCTTTCTGTCTCTTGTTATCAGAGAGCCTTCTGTAGAACAAAGGTTTACTCTGCCCACCAAGACTGTTCACTGAGTCTCAGGCCTTGCTGAGCAAACCCTGTCGGAAAGGGAGGCTAAATACTCTGTTCTTCCTTTTCTGCCCAGTTTTAAAAGTGTGATTGGTTCAGTAGCTATTTCAGTTGTAACAAAGTACTTTGAATTATTTTTTCTGGCTTTTGTCCTTTTGAGCGTAACAGACTCACGGATTTTCATAGATATATGTTTATCAACAATGCATATTATTGCTTTTGCTCAGTTGTCAAGAGGTGGCCACTGGGAGCCCCTCCAAAGTCTCTTTTCAGTCCATCCACCAATCGAGAGCCCGTGTTCCCTGGTGCGAGATGCCCCCTCCCCGCTCCGAAGCTTCGCTGCCCCAGCGCAAGGGCGATGCCCCGCGGAGCCGGCTGCACGTCCGGGGCATGGCGTTCGCACCCACGCGCGGGCTCTTGGCGCGATCTTGCTGCTGGAGGGGCAGGGCGTCTTGGCCAGTCCAGCGCGTGGTGCTGAAAAGGACTTTTTTAAAAAATCATGTGTTCATACTGGTAGTTCCCTGTCAATCCCAATGTAGTATTTCTACTTAATTTCTTTCACTTTCACAATGGAATCTTCGCTGTTGTACTGAATTGCTTTATTTCTAACAACACAAAATTTCATGACTTACTTGCTCTCCCTAACAATATAAAGAAAAACAGTTTCGCAGTCGTACCATTATCACCATAAACAATGAAACTACTGAACACAAGCTCGAAATTTCCCTTAACTCTTTGTCCTTAGAATGCATGTTCCAAGGACGTAAGTTCCAAGTGAAGTTCTAAGCTCCCTTGAAGCAATCTTGTCTCTCTGCCACGTAACCCTTGCCCCACGCAGAGCTCCTCCCAGCTGTGCGTTTTTATTTTCAGTGTGAAGCCTTTGCAGTCTCGCAGCTGGTAGTTCTGAGAAGGTGGCAGCCATCGGCCAGTGTTCCCAGAACAGGAAACTGGAGGCCAGTCTAACAGGGACTGAGATGACGTGAGCGCCTGAGCAGTTGAGTCCCTGCGAGCGCTTGGACCCTCCCCCACCCAGCCTGTCTGCACTGGCGGGTTCTGGCCAAGCAAGTCAGTTTCTCCTGCTGCTATTTAATTTCTAGCACTGCTACAGCCTACGTAACTGAATTGTTTAATGTTGTCCTAATGTGAAAGTCTTACCTTGTGCCCTGAGTTATAATTTTCCTCTTTCAATAAAAATATTAATATCCAAATTTGCTGCATACCAAGCTATGTATTTTCACATCAAGTCTTGTATTATACATATTACATTAAGTAATTCTCAGTTAATATCCTCTTGACCTCGTGCATTAATGTTTAATTTTCCTGTAGGGAGATTTTGAGGAGATAGATGATTTCAAGATTCCACAGGATAAAGAAAGGCAACATATGTGAAAACAAGCTCCCCTCCATTTTTTTTTTTTGGTCTGAAATCTCTTCACTCAGAAGTCAAAATGCAGGCTTTGCGTTATTTATGTATTTTCTAGCACAATCGAAAACCTCAAACTTCATAGTGACTATTACTAGGTACTTAAAAATACAAACAGAGAGCCAGGAGTTTTGCACGACCACAATTGCTTAGTCTGTAACAGCAGCACGACTTCCGGCACAGTTTTTGCTGAGACGCAGGGTGAAGGTCGACGTGAGTCAGCCAGCCAGCCGGGTGTGCAGCAGCAGCTTCGCTGCAGTGCCTTCGCTTCTCGCCAAGAGAACAGGGCGTACCTCGTGACAGCAGACTCAGCCGCCTGCTCTGGGCACGCTGCCACCCGTCCTCTGCAGGTGCCCCAAGTGCGTCCCGTTCGGCAGAGAAGCTGGAACACTGCTGCCGCCACAGGCGAGACCGGCCGGCCCCACGCTGGGCCTGCTGCTTTCACTCTGACCTTC